GGAAGTTGACAGTCTAGATGCTGCGAGCTTATTTCCCCAGCTGGAAAGTTGGGTGAAATAATGTTAGAGGCCACAGTCAACTACTTAAAACTCAGATGAAAAAAGGATTGCATTTATACACTGTCTTTCACAACTACCAGATGTGAAAAGCAGTTTACAACATATGTAATTAATGTATAACTTTTTTTTGAGTAAGGTCTTCACTGCATGTTGAATTGACAATATCTACATTGTTATTTATTGTGCTTCATGATTTGGCTATTTGATGGAAAATTGACAATATTCACACATAATGTTAAAGAGGCGATCCAGCCTGTGCCAGTCATTTCAGAAGGATACAATTAGTCCCAATCCTGCTTTAAAAATTGCTAAAAGGAGAAGAGATGAACCTTTAACTTATATTCTCTTTTTAGCAATGTTTAAGTTCTGTGTTACTGAGTATTTATTTAAATCCTGTTTTTATATACAGCCCAGCAAATTTTGATTTTTCAAGCATGTATCCAATTTTTTAAATAGCTGCTTCAATTGTTGATTCAAGCAGCACATTCCTGATCATAATAATTCACAATATACATTTTAATATTTTCCCTCTGTTTATTTCCTAATAACTCTAAATCTGTGTTCTCTGGTTACCAACCCTCTTACCAATGAAATTTTCCTTTCTGTATTTACTCTATCAAAACCCTTCATAGATTTGAGCTCATCTGTTGAATACCCCCCAGTCAATCTCCTCTTAAACATCTCTGCTTTAAGGAGAACAAGTCTAGTTTCTCTAATTCTTACTGTATAATGGAAGCACCCCCAGCCCAGTGTCAGTCCAGTCAATCTTTTCTCCAAGGCCTTTCCTTTCAAAATGTTAAAACCCTTCTATGCACTGTCCATCTTCTATTTAAACTTAGTCAGTAAACCTAAACAGTGGTCTCAGACACATAAGGTATGCTGTTAAGGAAAAGTCCTTCCTACATTCCTACTTATACATTGAAATACCAAGCAATCAACAACTCCAGCCTTATGTCTTTGTTATCTCCAGATTCAGCTACTTTGATGGGAGGATGCTTGAATCACATGTACCAGTATCTCTAAATGTGAATTCATCCAAATCCGTACTGCCCAGATCCTGACTCAAACAGAGTCCCATTCACACATGACCCTGTGCTCAATGATCTCTATTGGCTCAGAGTCTGGCCTGGCAACAATTTTACAATTCTTGTCCTTCCATTGCCTTGTGCCTTGCTATTCCAGAGACCTCCTCCGCATCTTACAAATGAACTCATTTTATTTTTCCAATTCCAGCTACTCGTACACCTTCACTATCTAACAATTAATGGTTCTCCCTGGAATGTGGTGGCTATGCTATGACGAGACACAGAGTAATTTGGACTTATGTTGTTCAGATTTTAGAAAAGGGATTGTTGGTCAGTGAAAAGGTAGATGCTAAGTTGGGAATCCAAGACACACGAGCACAGTCTCAGTAGAAGGAGTTGATCATTTACAACAGAGGTGAGGAGAAATGACTCCACTGCTCATTTTTGGAATTCTACAATGCTGACAGGCTGTGGATGCTGCACAGTTGAATATGTTTAAGGCTCGGTGTTTGACAAACATTTGATCTCTCAGAGCATCAAGTAAGTGCAGTCAAAGCCTAGATTCGCCATGATCAGATAGAATGTGGAGCAGGCTGGAGGGGCCGAATGTCCTCCGTGGTCTCAGCTGCCTGGGCGCTAAGCTGCAGAATTCTTTCCCTAAACCTCTTCCTTCCTCTCAAAAAAAACTTACCTGTGACACTCAGCTATCTGAGTATATCCGCATAATCCTTTGAGAATGCTTTACTATGCCAGAGGCGCTACATCAATGCAAAGAAATGGATGAAACATTTGAAATTGCTGGAAGTTGGGGGGTGGTGTATTGTTAGTCCATCACCAAAACAAGACTCTAAAACTCAAATTGACGAAAATAAATAGACAGGCCCCAACTCCTGCTCCATTTGGTGAAGAGCAAGGAGAACCTCCCCCTGACTCCGAACTACAAACTGCCCTTAGCAACCCGGCTGCCGGAAACCGGATTGCTGACAGCGGGCGACGTTTTACGATGGCGGTGGGCGGCGCTGGTGACGTGGCTTTCGTTTTCCGGCTCTTGGTCTCGGTTGGGGGGGGAGAGGGGAAAGAGGCGGCTATTCGGCCGGAGCTCGGTCTGCTGCCCCACGACGACAGGCTCAGGCCCCGGGACCTGACCGGCGGCGGCCTGGGGCTGCTCCTGGTTCCCGAGTCAGGTCAGTGAGGGTCATGGGAGAGGGGAGGGTCAGTGGGGGGAGGGGGAAGATCA